TTTTTGACAGGATGTTTTTGTTACATGTTTTTTTTTTTGCTTCATGAGAATGGTTATTGAGAGCATTAAGAAATTATTAGGGAAAGAACAGTACAAAATGAAATGTTGCAAGTCAGACTCGAACCTGCTTAGCCCATATGAGCATCAAGGTCATGTGTTGACTGCCGTGCCACAATGTTTATTCTATTTTCTATGATTTTCTTCATGTTGGATACAAAAGGTGAAGCAAACAATGGTATTTTTCCCTGAACGTGACAATATGACATTCCGAGATTTTCATTGCAGGACAGTGAGCCAGCTGGGCTGAATAGTATCAAGGATTACGCGATTCCAGATGTACAGAGCGAAGGTAAAGAGAGAGGCTGATGAAAATGGAAAGAAAAAGGGCTAGAATGGGAAAATGCTTAGTGGGGAACTCGCTCTTCCTCTCTTTGTGAGATAATGGCAGTTATTGGACTGACTCACAGCTCCTCTCTGTATGTTTCTCTCAGATAAAGAGTGCCGTGTGAATCTCCGCTGCTCTGCGACATGCTCTCTCCATTTGGAATTAAATGTTCTGCACACAATATGCGGCGCGTGGCCAGGCGGTGGCTGAAGCTCAGGGCTGGCACTCCAAATGAAATGGCTGTTTAAATCCCCTCGGCGGAGGCTTACAGTGGCCACTACCCCGGCCTGCTGAGCGGAGCCCAGGACTTTAGGGGCTTTTTGTAGACTAGCCTCTCAAAGCTACTGCGCTCAGAACTGATGTGTTTGGGCTTTAACTTTGCAATACATTTAGTTTTTTTGTGGGGCAGACTAATTCTACTGATTTACTGGTTTTAAGGCTTTACATTTCGGATGTGGGCTTGGAACTAAGCATCTAAATCTCATCCAAAATACTCCATATCAGTGCTGCAAGTAAATCTGATACTACCAAATATCTTTAAAGGGATAGTTCCCCTAAAAAATAACAATTGTGCCATCATTTTCTCACCCCTATGACTTCCTAATCCTGTATGACCTTATTTCTTCCTTTCACAAAAATTAAAAAAAAAGTTTTTGCGCATAAAATGAAAGTCAGTGTGGTCCAAAACGTTGAACTTTGGACCCCATATCAGTGTTATTTTAGCATCATTACTATTGTCACGTTAAGGTGAACTCCGGCATGAGGTAGAGAGCAGTATCTAAATGTTGTGTTTTTAAATGATTAATAACAAAAGTACCAGAAAGTAAAAAAAAAAAAAAAAACATAAACGAAAAAAAGACCCGACCATGAACACCGGAAACAAAAAAAACATAAACGGACAAAAAACCCGACCATGAACACCGGAAACACAAGGGTTTATATACAAGGGGGTTAATGAGATTAAAAAGATACATACAGTATCACAGAACAATCGGGACAGAGGAAGACAGGAACAGGAACTAGACAAAACTACAAAGTAAAAGTCCACACAGCAAAAAAAAAAAAAAAAAAAAAAAAAAAAAAAAAAAAAAAAAACCACAGTTAAGGTCAAAAGTTTACATCCCCCTTTCAGAATCTGCAAAATGTTAATTATTTT